TCTTGACCCAATGCTTTGGAAGCATGTATTAATCATATCTCTCTGTGTTGCCTCCTACCTTTTATGAGACTGGGAGTTCTCTTGGTCTAGGAACTGTGTTCCTCCCATCAAAATGGGGGCTATTCAAGGGCAGAGACCAAGTATTCCCCCATCAAATTGTGAGTACCTGAAGGCAGACACTGCATCTCCCCCATCAGACTGGAAGCTCCCAGGGGATAGAGACTGTGACCCTATTAGACTAGCTGTTCCTTGAGAGCTTAGCTCATGCTCCCAAGAAGCCCTATACTGGCCTTTGAACCCGACCAGTCCATGGTAGTAGCACATGGCCTGACTCACCTCTCTCTCTGGATTGGAGCCGATATTCAGCATAGCCATAGGGCTGTTGGGGGCACTATTGCCCGCAGAGGAAGAGAGCACATGGCTGGCCCGGACCCCAGGGGAAGCAGCTGGAGGCGGCTTTGGGGAGCTCTGGGCAGGGCTGATGTGAGCAGCAAACTTGTTCCCATAGGTCTCAGACAAGTACTCCCGCACCTTCTGGTCCCGTGACTGCTGCAGATGGTAGGAGGTGGGGTTCTCCAGGTATGACTGCACCTGTTGCCCCAAAGAGAAAGGGGAAGAAGGTGTCAAGGGAGCCACGAGCCCTAGGAGGGACAGCAGTGTTGTCAGGGTGCAAGGGATTCGGGCAGTACCTTCAGGACCTCTCCTGGCACTGGAGGTGGGGACTGGAAGTGGACTGGCGTGTTGATGGCTGGGGTGGGAGGCCCTGGCAGCTGCTGCTGCTGCTGCTGTTGCTGCTGCTGCATGTAATGCATCACAGCCTGTTGCTGCATCCGCTCCCGCTGCTCCTCCTGCTGGGCCTGCTCCCTCATGAGCTGCATTCGAAGGCCAATGCGGGACGCCATGGCAGCTGGCTGCAGGCGCCCGAAGGCAAGCTGGATCCCTGTGGGAGAAGCAAAGGACCAATGGCGCTCACGTTCACCCTAAGGAGCAGCACCATGATAAGGTACAGTTAAACAGTGCTTTACAAAGCACTTGACAGATACTCCCTTTTTTGAACCCCAGAATAGCTCTATGAAGCAGGTGCTGATATTATCCTTATTTTACAGATGAAGAAATAGATCTGCTTAACAAAGGTTAAATGACTGGTCCAGGGTCACATAGCTAGTAAATCTCTAAGGCTAGATTTGAACTCAGTGGATAGAGTGCCAAGCCTGGAGTCAGGAAGACTCATCTTCCTGAGTTCAAACCTGGTCTCAGACACTTAGTAGCTATGTAACCCTGGGCAAGTCACTTAACCCTGCTTGCCTCAGTTTCCTCATCTGTAAAAGGAGCTGAAGAAGGAAATAGCAAACCACTCCAGTATCTCTGCCAAGAAAACCCCAAACAGGGTCACGAAGAGTAGGACAGGACCGAAAAACAACTAAATAACAACTTCTGAATTTAAGTCCAACACTAATCCACTGCACCATCATGCAGCCTCAGAGCCTAGGTCTTTTTGACCCTAAGTTCAGCAGTCTATGGGAGGCAGGATGGTATAGTGGAAAGAGCAGTAGGCACAGAATCAAAGAAGCTGGGTTCAAGTCCCCCCCCTCTGCCATTTCTCCCCTATTTGACCTTGGGCCGGTCACTACTCGTGGGCCTCAGTTTCCTCCTCTATAAAACAAGGGGCTTGGAATTGACAACCCCTGAGGTCCCTTCCAGGTTATTTCTCATCCTCCTACCAGGACGAGCAGCATACACACGCTGATGTTTAACAAGGGGCTGATGTTTACTGTAGCCTAAGGAGCCAGCTGCTATTCAGTAATCAGTGTAGATCTAGCTACAGAAATCCTTCTTTAAGAGGCAGGAAGTTTCATTTAAACAAATCAATCAGAAAAGATATACATAAGCAATTTGGTTCAATTGACCAATGTATAGACTACTTATAATCAATTTCTAGACTACTTTACGTGTGCCGAGCAGCAAACCAGGCCCTAGAAATAACAATAATAGTTAGCATTTATATAGTCCTTTAAAATTTGTAAAGTGCTTTATAAATGTTATTTCATTTGATCCTCACAATAGCTCTAGAAGGTACTTGCTGTAATTGTCCCTATTTTACAGATAAGGAAACTGAGGCAGAGAGTGATTAAGTGACCTGACCAAGGTCACACAGTGTGAGGCTGATAACTTGTGCCATCCAGCTGTTTCAAGAGGTCCCGGAGTATTCCCCCATTAGACTGAGAGCCCTTTCAAAGCAGGGCCTGTCAGTGTTTCCACCATCAAAGGAAGCAAAAGGGGGGGAGCAGCTAGGTGACTCAGTAGATAGAGCACCAGCCCTGGAGTCAGGAGAGCCTGAGTTCAAATCCAGCCTCAGACACTTGACATTTACTAGCTGTGTGACCCTGGGCAAGTCACTTAACCCCAATTGCTTTGCCTCCTCCCCCCCAAAAAAAAAGAAAGCAAAAGGAGGTAGAGTCCGGGTTTCAAATCTAGATTGGGCCACTAATTAATTGTGTGATCTTAGGTGAATCCCTTCATCTATCCTCAATTTCCTCATCTGTAAAAACATGCTCAATCATCACTTTCAGATCTGACTTTCTATGACTAGTTAGAAGGTTCACTTGGATCTTACCCACATATATATGCTGATGTTTTGGTTTAATCTAAACATAAATCATTCCCTCAGGCTAATACTGTTGGACATCAGCCCATAAGTTGAGCATTAACCATAACCACCTGTACCTGGCCAAAAAAAAAATCACACTAGTTTGTTTTATACATATATACTTTTTTTCCTTAAAAACACTCTCATATCCTTTATCCCATTTGACCCTCACACCAACCATATGCTTCCACCTGCAACACCTGTATAACTCTACAAACTGCCAAAAATATAAATTCTATTTGTAAACTCAAGGGAATGATTTGGCCATGAAAGAAATGTTACCATATTCGAAATGTTTTCCCAGGTTAATATCAAAATGCACATATGTACAGTGCTTTACTAAACCCAGTTAGGTACCAATTAGTGTGAATAATAAAAGTGACTGAATATAATATATTCAAATTTGCACTATTCAGTTATAATTATGTAAAATATGGTCGTTGGTTCCAGCTCAATAGAAATATGCAATGTGAATTTGAATACTGTCACCACTCCAAGAGGATTCCTTGTTCCTACTATTCATTGGGACACAGGGCACAGAAATTAACATTTCTCACTGTATCTTTCCCAAACTCCCCAATGAGGCAGCTGACCTATCAAGAATCACAGGATATAGGGCTAGAAGGGCCCCCAAAGGTTAACTATCTCAATTTGACTAGCTCTCAGACCTTCATTAGCTCTCACCTGGGCTATTGCAGAAGCCTCCTTAATTGGTCTTCCTGCCTGAAGTCCCCAGGAGGCCTTCCCTAGCCACCCCCTACCCAGTTGTTAGGGCTTTCTCCTCTGTAATTACCTTCCATTTACTCTTCAGGTATCTATATGCATCTATTTATTTACATGGAATGTAAGCTCTATGAAGGTAGTCGTTTTTTTTCCCCTTTCTTTGTATTCCAGAGAGTAGCCTCAGTGCTTTGAACATTGTAAACAATCAATAAATGCTTATGGTTTGATTTCTAAGAGCTGGAAGAAATCTTAGAAGCCTCCCAGTCCAACCCTCTGATTTGACAGATGAGGCAACAGAGACTTAGAGAGATTAAGCGGCTAACTCAAGGTCCTCATAGTGAAAATCAGAGGTGAGATTTGAATCAGGGCCCTATTATTTGGGACCGTGCCATTTCAACTGTGCACACCAACATGTAGGCAGGAAAGCTGGTATTGAAACCCAAATCCTTAGACCCAAACCCATTGCTCTTTCTACTGTATCTTTTTTTTTTTGCCAAGGAGTAAAAATAAAGGGAACTAATGGCTCACTGCATAAAGTGCTGGGCCTGGAGTCAGGAAGACCTGAGTTCAAATCCCACTTCTGACATTTACTAGCTATGTGACCCTGGGCAAGTCATTTAACCTCTGTTTGCCTTAATCCACCGGAGAAGGAAATGACAAAACCATTCCAAAGTCTTTGCCAAGAAAATTCCCTGGACGGCATTGATATAATATTGTCCACGGGTTCTCCAAGAGTCAGACACAAGTAAACAACAACAAAACTAATGGACATTTCAAAAAACCAAAATGAAACTTTGTTTTTTAAAAATCTAGATAAAATTCTGGAATAAAATTCATTTCAATTTCACAGCTACACCATAACTACCACTGGATCCTAAATTCAGAGATGAAAGAAACCTCAGGGGCTATCTAGCCCCTTCAATCTTACAAATGAGGAACTCAGACCTAGAACTAAGTGACTAGCCCAGAGTCATAGAGCTGGGGAGCATCTGGGGCAGTATTTGAATTCGGCTCTATCTCCATTCCAAGTCCATGGCAAATCCAGACTGCCTGATCCACATTTCACAGACTACGTCAATTATTTTTTTCGAGTGCTCAGGTAGTCTTTTTTGATGAGTAGGGATAGCAGCTCTCATTCAAGGTGAGGCAGTTGTTATGGTCATTTTACAAATGAGGAAGCAGGCTTAGAGGCTAAGTGACTTGTCCAGGGTCATGCGGCTGAGTATGGATTCCAGATATTCCAAGGCCAGCCTTAAGTCCAAAGTGCCACCACCACTACCACCACCACCACCACACCAGCTCCTTCACACTGTCCCACCTCCTGAGAGGGGCTCACCTCTGGCCGGGGGGATGCACATGGGCAGAAGCGGGGTGGTCCTACACAGAAGGCCCTCACAGAAGTGCTTTCCCCGGGAACAGGGAAGTGGAATGGGAGGGAGAGGGAGTGGAAGAGGGAGCCGACGGGGTGGAGGAGGAAGAAGGGGTGGGGGAGGGAGAGGAGGAAGGGCAGGCAACTACACAAGTCTTCCCCCACCCACCCACCCCCCCATGCCAGGGAGTTGGATGAGTTGTTTTTCCAGCCTGGATCCACTTCGGAGGGGGAGGAATTTCTGTGCCTTTTGAATCATACACAAGGTATATGCCAGATCACTTGCAAAGTATTTTTGAGACAAGAGCTCTGGCAGTTTATCAGGATGCTGGCTGGAGCCTAGGAGAATAATCTACCCACGTGTCTGGGGCAGGGGGAGGGGGAGGAGCCTCTCTCCAGATCCCTTCCCCAGCCTCGGTGGAATCCGGAAGGGCTCCTCCAACCCCAGCCCTTGGAAGATCTGACGGGACTCTGGGGAGAGGCGAGGACGAGGGGAACCTGGAGCAGTCAGCTAATCTCATTAGCAGCTTTCTCTAAATCCTGGCCCCTCTGGTTCAGCTGGAGCTCCGAGACAATTCCAACCCCACCTTGCCCCTCGGCCACGCTCATTCTTCTCCAGAGGTCCTGGTGAGTTAGGAGCCGTCTCTTGCTAGGACACTCTCCAACCCACCCTCACCCCCTCACCCCAGACCCAGGCCTCTAGTTCAGACCCAGGCCCCACCTGGCCCGTGCTTTCCCTCTTCCCTGTGCAGACAGACACAGTCTGATTACTGTGAGAGTAGGCTGGTGAGGGGGCTAGTCCAAGGGGCCTGGCAGCACCAGCCGGCGTTGGGGGTGGGAGAGGTGGAGGATGGGGGGATGATGGCAGTACACTGACAGGGCTCTTGTTCCTCTCCACAAAGGGACCAGGCGCCAATTATGGGGCAAGGAGGCAAAGCAGGCACTGTTGGAATGGGCTGCTCCGGAAAGAGCCTTACCTAGCACCTACAGGGAGGTCACATCTGCAGAAAAACCACCATCTGCAGTAGGAAGAGTCCAAGAAGACAGGGAATCGTAGCATCAGAGATTCAGAGCTGGATGGGACCTCTGAGGCCATCCGGTCCAACGCCATTTTACAGAGGAGAGAACTGAGGAGAGAGGCTGGGGACTGACTTCCATTGTGACCAATATGTTCAATTCAATAAACAATAAACCTTTATTAAGCACCTACAATGTGCCAGTAGCTATGTCGGCAAGGAGATCAAATAAGTCAATACTTAAGAATATCAATTCAGATTATTCACTGGAAGGTCACATACTGAAGCTGAAGCTTAAATACTCTGGCCACATAATGTGAAGATGGAACTCCTAGGACCCCGGTGTTGGGAAAGATCGAAAGCAAAAGGAAAAGGGCATGGCAGAGGATGAGATGGACAGATGGTATCATGGAGACAACGGACATGAACTTGGACAAACTTTGGGAGATAGTAAAGTACAGAAGAGCTATGGCCCATGGGGTCATAAAGAGTCAGACATGTCAGAGTAACACATGCCAGGTAAGGTGCTAAGCACTGGAGATACAAAAAGAGGCAAAATACAGTCCCTGCCCTCAAAGAGTTTACACTCTAGGGGCAGCTAGGTGGCACAGTGGACACTGGCCCTGAAGTCAGGAGTACCTGAGTTCAAATCTGCCCTCAGATCAAACACTTGACACTTACTAGCTGTGTGACCCTGGGCAAGTCTCTTAACCCCAGTTGCCTAAAAAAAATTTTTTTTAAAAAAAGAGCTTACAGTCTAATGGGGTAAACAATATGCAAAACAAGCTATATGCAGGATAAATAGGAGATAATTAACAGCCCTGGAATTAAGAGGAGTTGGGAAAGGCTTCCTATAGGAGGTGGGATTTTAGTTGGGACTTAAAGGAAGCCAGAGAGGTCAGCAGAGTGGAAGAGGGAGAGCGTTCCAGGCATGTGGACAGCCAGAGAGAATGCCCAGAGCCTAGAGATGGAGTAGTCTTGTTAGAGGAGCGGCCAGGAGGCCAGAGTCACTGCATCAAAGGGTGCATTCTGGGGGGTAATGTGTAAGAAGATTGGGAAGGTAGGAGAGGGCTAGTGCCCAACAGAGCAATAGGGAGCCACTGAGCAGGAAGACAGCAAGCTCATCTAGTCCAAACCTCTCATTTTTTCATGAAAGGGAACCGGAGTGCCCTGGGATGTGACATCTAGTTAGCGGCAGAAGCCAGATTCCTGGACTTCTGAGTCCTTTCCACTTAGACCAGCACTTCTCCCTCAGGAGAGCAAGCTGAAATCAGGGCCCTGAGGGAATTCAGTTCTACAGGAATTTGCCAGCAACTGGGCGAGGGCATAAGGATACAAAACCAATATAATCCCTGCTCTGGTTTTACTGAGGAAACCACACTTACCTGGGAAATATATATATGTAAAACATATGCAAAGGAGTATGTAGGGAAGCTAGGTGGCGCAGTAGATAGAGTGCCAGGCCTGGAGTCAGGAAGACAAATTCAAATCCAGCCTCAAACCCTAGCTGGGTGACCCAGGGCAAGTCACTTAGCCCCGTTTGCCTCAGTTTCCTCATCTGTAAAATGAGTTGGAAATGTATCTTTGCAAGAAAACCCCAAATATTCAAATCTGGCCTCAGACACTTGACACTAGCTGTGTGACCCTGGGCAAGTTACTTAACCCTAATTGCCTCACCAAAAAAAAAAAAAAAGAAAACCCCAAATGAGTTCCCAAAGAGTTGGACATGACTGAACAATAACATGCAAAGCAGACATAAAGTTTATTTTGACCTAGGAGTATCAGAAAGAGTACTAACTACTTGGGGACTTCTGGAAAGGCATTGTGAGCTTCCACCAAGAGGCTGAAGTCAGGAGGGAGGGCATTCCAGGCAGAGGGCACAGCCCACAGAAAGGCAGGGAAGCAGAAGATGGCCGTGTTTTGTTGTTGTTCTGTCCTTTCCAACTTTTTGACCCTGTAAACTATTGCAGGTCAAAGCCATCCATGGGGTTTTCTTGGCAAAGATACTGGAGCAGTTTTCTATTTCTTTCTCCACTGGATTAAGGCAAACGGAGGTTAAGTGACACAGCTAAGAAGTGTCTGAGGCTGGGTTAGAATTCAGGAAGATGGGTCTTCCTGACGATTTATCCACCGGATCAACTAGCTGCCCTGTTCCCTCAGAAGCCATCCCCATCAGCCCCCATCTTTCTTGTGCTCCTAACATACTCTTTTCTCCCCTTCCATTGTGCCCTCTGGAATCTTGTTAGCAAACTTCCCTTAATATTACGTATATAGCCTCCTCCCAGAAATGACTTTGTATCTCATTTTCAAGGTACATATTGTTTCCCCTAGTAGAAAGTAAGCTACCCGAGGGCAGGGACTATTTTATTTTTGTCTTTGTCTCTCCAGAACCCAGCACAGCGCCTGGCACATAGAGGTGTAATAAATGCTTATTGAATTAGACTGAGTAGAGTAAGGAGATGGCCATCCAAAGAGAAAGTCAGAGGGCACTTTCTGGACAACTTCATAATTTCACTGAGGAAATGCTGAGCCAGGTAGTGTCTTTCAAAGGTGACCGCTATCACCAATACTTCACAGGACCAGGCCCCCCAGGGGCTGAGGGATCATAGGGTCATAAATTTAGCCTGGAGGGGACCTCACAGGCCACCTGGTGCAATCCCTTCATTTTACAGATGAGGGAGACCTGCCAATCAGGGAAGTTAAAAGGCATTAAATATGGGAGAGGCATTTGAAGCCAGGTCCTCTGGGACTCTAGAGCACAGGTGAAGAACCTGTGGCCTCTAGGTCCTCAAGTGCAGCCTTTTGACTGAATTTGGTCAATTCAGGTTCCCCACCCCTGTGGGGAAAAGTGCCCTTTTCACCATGTCCCACTGTCTGTGAGGAAGACAGCCTCTCTCATTGAGCTCCCTACCAATCCTAGAAGATTCACCACACCTTCTACAAAATTCCCCTGCATTTGTAGAGCATGGCATAATTTTTCCTAATCCTTTTCCCATCCATCACCTTATATGATCACACAACCACGTGCCTGGAGAGGTAAGCAAATTATCTCCACGGACAGATGAGGGAGAAGAAGATAAATGACTCATATAGCTTCACACATGTAGTTGGTCAAGAAAGAGAGTCAGCGCTAGAACCCAGGTGTCCTAGGTCTCCAGATTCCTATTCCAAAACTCAGAGCTCTCCCAAACAGAGATGAAGACAGGAACTGGACCTGTGATTTCACTGGAGAACTAACTGCAGCTAGGTGGCAGACTGAATAGAATAGAGTATTGGGCGTCGGGAAGATGCATCCTTATGAGTTCAAATCTCACATCAGACCATAGCTGTGCAACCTTGGGTAAGTCATTTAACCCTGTTTGCCTCAGTTTCCTCATTTGTAAAATGATCTGGAGAAGGAAATGGAAAACCACTCCAGTATCTTTGCCAAGAGGCAAACAGGATTAAGTGACTTGCCTAGCTAGTAAGTGTCTGAGGCTGGATTTGAACTCAGAAGGATGGGTATTCCTAACTTCAGGCCTGACATTCTATCACTGCATCATCTAGCTGCCTCTTAATAGACGCTTATAAACTGACTACCGCAGGAAGAAAATCCAGGGGCCTGCAAAACAGTGAGGCAGAAAGACGGCCAAAATGACCTGTTGGCCTGGACTGGGAGGAATAGAAGAGATTCACTGGGGGGGGGGGGGGGAGTCAGCACCTGGAATGAACTGACTTGAATTTCCTATTTTGTTTGCCTTGCTCCTTCCAATGGAAGAGCAGCAGGGTCAAACTTGGAGAGCTGGAAGGGACGCTTAGTGATCCTCCGGTCCGGCCTTCCTCACCTGACAGATCGGCTATAAATCAAAGCCAGGCTTAAGGAGCCTGCTCAAGGTCACAGAGTGAGTGGCTGAGTCAGGACCTGAACTGAAATCCTTGGCGCCCTTTTTACTACACTGTGATATCGTAATAAACAGGGAAGATTACTGTGCTACAAGAGATGACGACTGTCATGTCTACAGAGAAGCATGGAAGAACTTAACGTAAAGCGATGGAAAAGGAAGTAAACAGAGCCAAGAAAACAACAGACAAAAATGACTTCAACAGTGTAAATGGAAAGGACAACCACCACAAAAGAATGATATTAATGAGAACTAACATTTATATAGTACCCACTGTGACCCTGGGCAAGTCTCTTCACTTTGTTTGCCTCAGTTTCCACATCTGTAAAATAAGCTGGAGAAGGAAATGACAAACCACTGCAGTATCTTCACCAAGAAAACCCCAAATGGGGTCATGAAGAGTCAGAAACAACTGAACAACAACAACAAAGAGTGTGAGGCACTGTGCTAAAGGCTTTACAATCAGTACCTCATTTGATCCTCACAACAGCCCTGGGAGGTGGGTGCTACTACAATCATCCCTATTTTACAGATGAGGAAACTGAGGTAAACAGAGGTTAAGTGACTTTCCCGGGGTCACACAGCTAACAAGTGTCTGAGCTGGATCTGAACTCATTCTTCCTGACTCCAGGTCTGGCATCACCATCCACTCAGCCATCTAGTGGCCTTGGAGTGACAAGGGCTCAGTATTCAGAATCAGGCTGCTGGTCTTGCCTTTGCACTGATGTGTGTGTGTGTGTATGTGGCAATTGGAGTTAGTGACTTGCCCAAGGTTACACAGCTAGTGAGTATCATGTGTCTGAGGTCACATTTGAACTCAGGTCCTCCTGACTCTAGGGCCGGTGCTCTATCCACTGTGCCACTTAGCTGCCCCTGCACTGATTTTCTGAAGCAAATAAATTAATCTTTTTGGAGGGAAAATGTCTCAACCAAGATCACACAGCTATTTCGTGAGCCCTAGTTCAATTTCTCATCACCTTTCTCAACTGGACTCTTGCAATAGCCTCCTAATTGGGCTCCCCCTCCTCCCACAGCAAATCTCTCCCCTCTCCAATCCATCCTTCACACAACTGCCAAAGAGATATTGTTAAATATCTCTTTGGTGCAGGTTTGATCATGTCACTCCCCTGAAAGAAACTGCTGTGCTTTTCTATTATGTCTTGAATAAAATTTACCCTCCTGTCTTTGGAAAGTAAAGTCCTTCACAATCCGACTCCAGCCATCCTTCTCCAGGTTAATTACACCTGACTTTCCCTGTACTCCAGCCAAATGGACTCTCTGGCAGTTCCTCACACATGGCAGGCACTCCATCCCCTCCCTACGCGGCTTTGCACTGGCTGTCCCTCATGCCCAGAACAGACTTCCTGCAAACCTCTGCTTCTTAAAGCTGCTCGATTCCTTCAAGGTTCCATCCCAGCCCCAGCTTTTACATGAAGCCTTCCCTGGTCTTCCTGGATGCCAGCATCCCCCATTAACTTAACATTTATTTCATGTATATCTTCAATAGACCTCTGTAGGTACATGTTGCTGTTCCTGCGAAAATCAAAGCTTCTCGGGGAGGGAGATGACTTCATTTTCATCTTCATATCATGCCCACTGCTTAGCATAGTAAGCCGCACTTAGAATGTACTTATGGATGGATTGATTGATGGGCTAAGTAATAGCACAGCTAGACTATTACTGTTATAAACTGAATCCAACACAGAACACATAATGTCAGAGATGGAAGGGGTCAAGAACATAGAATGTTAGGATATAGAGAAACACAGGATGTCAGGACTCCAGGGGGCTTTATCACATAGAAAGAACATAGAATGTTGAGACATAGCACATACAATGTCAGGACTGGAGGGAGCCTTAGAACACAGAATGTTAGATCCCGGAGGAGCCTTAGAACGTTGAATGTGAAGACTGGACAGGGCCTTAAAACGGAGGATGTTAGGACACAGGACATAGAATGTTAGGGCCAGAAGAAGCCTTAGAACATTGAATGTCAGGACACAGAGTCAGAATTGGAAGGAACCTTAGACCATAGAATGTTAGGACACAGAGCATAGAATGTCAGGTCCAGAAGGAGCCTTAGAACATAAGATGTCAGAGTGCTCTGCCTTAGAACATGAATCTTAAGACTGAACATAGAATGTGAGGGATGGGAGGGGCCTAAGAGACCATCTATCTAGTCCAAGTTGCTCATTTCACTGAAGACAAGACTCCATGCTAGTTCTATCGTGGAATGACAATCAAAGAAGGGAAACAACCACCACTTGGGTACACGCTTATAGGCAGAACTGCCCAACTCCCACTTTGCTTCTTTTTTCTCTGTCAAGGAGAATGATTTTGAGACTGGAAAGGACAGAACAAAATTGTCTGTTAGGCAGCTGAAACCCAAGATAAGTAAGGAGATAGAGCTCACTTAGCTGCCCCTGAAGGCCCATATGAACTACCTCCTGAAAATGGAGGCCAAAAACAAAAAAGTAAGCTTAGCTTTGGTTGCAAATACAATTCTAGAACATATTAGTAAAGAGATAGTGAATAACTAGAAAAGGAAGTGGCAATCCCAAAGGACCAGCAGGGTTTCATCAATAAGGCAAGTTAGGTGGCACAGTGGATAGAGTACTAGGCCTGGAGTTGGGAGGACCTGAGTTCAAATCCAGCCTCAGACACTTACTAGCTGTGTGACCTTGGGCAAGTCACCTAACCTCTATATGCCTCAGTTTCCACAACAATAAAATGGGGATAATAATAGCTCATACCTCCCAGGGTTATTGTGAGGATCAAATGAGACAATATTTGTAAAGAGCTTAGCACAGTGCCTGGCACATAGCAAGCACCATTTAAATGCTTATCCCCTTCCTCATCAATAATAAGTCATGCGAGATTAAACGTATTTCCTTTTTGGCAGTGTTATTACATGGGTCAGTCTGGGAAATGCTGTATATATTGATTACCTAGATTTTAGCAAAGCACTTGACAAAATCTCTCCGCTATTCTTGTGAAAAAGATGGAGAGATAATATGCTAGACAATAGCGCAGTTAGGAGGATGCAGAGCTGGCCAGCCCCAGAGCTGCCATTAATAGTTTGGTATCAATTTGAAAGGAAGTGTCTGGCAGATTCCCTCTGTCTCTGCCTGTGGCCTGGTTTTAGCTGACATTGTTAGCAATGACTTGGATAAAGGCATAGGTGGCATGACCATAACAGTGGTATATAATACAAAGTCAGGAGGGATAACTCATGCCTTTGATGACATTCAGGATCCAAAGAGACCTTGAACCCTAGGCTAAATCTAAAAAGGACAAAACTGAATAGAGAAATAGCAATACTTACACATAGGCTGGAAAGATCAATTACCCAAACACACTATGAGGAACACATGACTAAATACCAGCTTGTCTGAAAAAGATCAGGGAGCAAGGAGGGGGCAGGGGCGGGGCACTTAGTGGACTACAATTTTTTTTTTGCCTGTTTTCTGGTCTTTTTGAGACTGGGTCTCCCTATTACTCTCAGGCCAGAAGTGTAGTGGCTATTCACGGGCCTAATCCCACTACTGATCATCAAGGGAGCTTCAACCTTCTCCATTTCTGACCTGGTCCAGTTTGCTTCTCCTTAGACAGGGGAAAGGAATTAAGTATTTATATAGCACCAATTACATTCCAGGCATTGTGTTAAGTGCTTTACAAATATTATCTTCTTTGATTGTCACAACAACTCTGAAAAGTGGGTGTTGTCATTATTCCCATTTTGTGATTGAAGAAACAGAGGCAGAGAGAGGTTAAGTCAGGGGTGGGGAACCTGAAGCCTCGAGGCCATGTGTGGCCCTCAAGGGAGGCCCTTTGACTGAGTTTGGATTCAAAGGGCCACACTTGAGGACCTAGAGGACCACATATGGCCTTCCCTACCCCCAGTTAAGTGATTTGCCTAGTGTCACACAGCTAGTAAGTGTCTGAGGCTGGATTTAAACTCAGATCTTCCTGACCTCTGGCCCAGCACTTTATCCACTGTGCCATCTAGCTGCTGTAAGACAGACAGTGGTCTCTCCTGCTGCCATATTGGTGCCAGATTTAGTGTAGACACCTAATCAGCCTGGCCCATTGCAGCTCAGAACTCTAGAGGTTCAAGAAATCCATCAGCCTCAGCCCCCTTAGGAACAGGGGATTATAGGTGTGTGCCACCATGCCTGACTGACTGAAAATCTAATGTGAGTCAACTATGATATATAGTGGGCAATAAAACCAACATTATTGCAGGCTGTATTAAAATGGGAGGTGAGAGTCCAGCTTTTAGTTTGCTCTAGACAGACCACATCTAGAGTACTGTGTTCACTTCTGGGCACAATTTAAGAGGGAAACTGACAAGATGAAAGCATTGAGAGGATGGGTTATATCAGATGAAGAAGAGTTGAAGGAATGGAAAAATTTAATCTAGAAAAGACTCATGGGGGCATCATAACCACCTTCAAATATCTGAAAGGCTGGCAGGAAGAGTGATCAGTTTTGTTCTAATCGGCCCTAGAGGGTAGAAAAAGGAGGAATGGGTAGAAGATCAAAGGGGTAAACTGACGTTTGATGTAAGGAAAGTCTCCCCATGAATTAGAGGTATCTAAAAGTGGGGGGAGCTGCCTCGAGAAGTCGTGGCTTCTCCCTCACTGGCAAAGACTGGATGCTCACTTTTCAGGGATGTGTAGAAAAAGAAGCTTGTTTATATATGGGTTGGACTAGCTTGGTCTCTGTGGCCCCTTCCAGCTCTTGAGACTCTGTGAGATGCACAGAGGGGAAATTACACTTCATGAATTCCCATGGGGACATCAGACAGAAGGCATTTCCTTCCTGTTGAGTACTCATCTGGGGAGGCCCCAAGGAAAAAACAAAACAGAGCAACCTAGTGGTTAGAGAACTGGACCCTGAAGATGCAGCTCTTGACCATCTTCTTCCCATGCTTCCGTGTGGAGAGGAAGACCTCCGCCAGTCTAACAGCTTGGGGGCTGGCGATGTGAGTAGAGAACTAGGTGATGTCAGAAAAAGGAAGAGGAGGGCAAGGAACAAGCGTTTGCTGCTCTCCAGGCCTGGTTCCCACCCTGCCTGAAACTCCCAGAGGTCAGGCACACCAGCCCCATGCCCCAGCATGCTTGCTCCCCACAGCCCACAAGCCCAGGGAAAGTGCTGTTGGAGTTGGTGCCTGGTAGGGCTGGGATTTCTAGCCCTGAGCAAGTCAAGGCAGTCCTGTGGCTAGGGTTGGGAAGGCTTCAAAGGGCTATTGAAGGCCAGTGAGGAGTCCCATGGAGATCAGCCAGATGCTGACCCAGAAAGCAGACATCTCATGAGACCTG